TTATTTGTTATTGCTTGATCACCTTTTATTGCATGTTTAAAGGGAATTTGTACTTGCAATCACGCTTAATAAGATATTTAACAATCTTGTTAGGGTTAATTGTGATTATAAATTCAAGTGATCGTCAATAATAGTTTATTTGTGCATTAAATTCAACCAACATAGATTAAACAGGTTTAGGGTTAATCCTATTGATTGCATGTTAGTCAGAAAGCGCACATGAATACGAGCAGAATAAAGTAGAGGCCTACTATTAGGGCAGGTTCAATATCTTTTAGGTTGGATTTGTACCATCATCCCCGAACCCTTATTTGGTTCATGACCTTATGGAGTTGAAGATCTCTTGGATCGTTAAGGGGTGTAACCTTCATCCTATGAACGGTTTACAAGTTCCTTAAAAACTTGTTGGCGACTCTTTTGCTCTATCTTCTTCCCTTTTGGACGCCACCGTACTTTAGTGTATGATCACAGTGGGGTTCAAGCTAGTGGGATTTTTAAAGGCTTGAAATTATTCCCTACAAAGCCCCATCCATCTAACCATTTTTGGACCCGGATTATGGACTAAAATAAACTTGGTTTGAACGTTTTTATAAAAAGGATACGAAATGAATGAATTTAAGGACAAGAAATTATTTTGAATTAAAATTTTTAAAGAAAGGTTAGAAAAAAGGAAATTCACGAGAATCTTCAACTCTTCACCTAACTCGATAATCTAATACGTGAAAGGTACTCATCACTGGGTTAAATTTTTAAGGAGAAACAATTAGGTGTCTACACTAGGCCAGTTCGCTAGTCCGCCTTAATTGAGACCATCGAGTCTGTTTGTCCTATTGGATGTTCTCCTTAGCCATCATCATGGTTATAGTCCCATAGGCCTTCTTATGTCCAAGACTACGCCCATGACTCTTAGCCATAAGGCCACCCTTTGCTCGGCCACCAACCCTTGTGTGAGAAATCACCCCCTATAGAGCTTTAATTATTTGGCTTGGCTAAAAATTTACATCGAATACCCAACTGACAATAACACAATAATGGGCTCTTGGGCTTAACCCTTGAACCCAAACTTTACCCTTAGGCCATGTATGAGCTATTAGGATCCTAATAAGTCCCCTCAATTAATAGTAAAGGTTGTTATGGAATTTTGCTCATCAAAACACTCTGATGTTCTTTTAATGTGCGCGCTTTAGCCACTAGCCTAAGGCCTAGTTGGCTTAGCAGTTGCTACTTGTTAGCGCCAAAATTTTGTAGGGTTTTATGTACTTTTAAGAGGAATTGCATGAATCATATACATAAGCACCTAAACAGAATCTACAAGCATTACACATAAAGAACACATAATTATACCTTTGAAGCGTGATTCCACGAGTGATGAGCAAGAATAATAAGGAGAACAAGAACCCCAAACGTGATTCCTCTACTAGGTCCATGGGCAAATATTGAACCTCCACTAATGCTAGTTAGTTATGATTGTGATAGGAATGGTGTCCTTCGAACAGGTGTATGATTCCGATAGAGGGTTCAAAATTATTAGAAAGCTAATTATTTAGCGAGGTCAAGTGATCGGAATGCCTAGGTGGAGGCTGCTTCCAATCAGTAATATTAATGAATAATTGATATTACATCTTAATCTTGACTGAACCCTTCGGGTCACACCCCAGAAACTAACAAACTAACGCGATGAATTAATTTGGAAGGAATTAATGAGTCACCCGAGTAATTAATATTTAGACGTCGAAAATTCGAGCTTGGAGCGTCGGAATTCGAGTTGAAATAATAAAGGACGAGATGGTAAAATTACTAATAAATCAACAATTTACCAGAATACCCTTAGGTACGGAATGCCCCGAGCAAACCGATGCTTAGGGGCATTTTATAAAAGCCGAGGTGGCTAGAAAATGCACTAAGCCAAGCCTAGGCTAGCTGGTGCATGATAGCACACCACGACTAGCAAGGTTCCAGCCATGGCAGCCGGCCAAGAGCTGCAGCCGCACCAAGGCCAGCTAGCTGGGTCGAGGCTGTAGCCGCAAGCCGCGCCTTAACCGTAGCTGCTGGGCCGTGGCAGCAAGCCCAAAAACGGCTGCCTTGGTGCTCCTCTTGGGGTTCCACGTGGCAGCCAGTGGTTGGTTATGGGAGATGATAGGTGGCCGGCCATAGAGTGCTCCTTGGGGATCAAGTTTGGTCCCCTCCCCTCCTTGTGGTCCTCACCTAACTCTTCTCCTAAATGTGCCACTTGTTGATTTATTAGTAGCTTGATAATTAATTTTATTTTTGATTTAAAAATAAAAGATAATCAATTATCCCACATTAATGGAAGAGAAAATCTCACTCATGATTTTCCTTATAAATACCCAAGTTGGGGTATTGGGAAAATCACTTGAGTAAGGTGTTAAAAAAGGCATCTTCATTGAGAAAACCTTTAAACACATATAATTACTCGGGTTTAGGTCGGACTTAGCTAACCTCTAAGAATTAGACCTGTCGGGGTTGAGTTGCGGGTGGACTTCCGTTGGAGGTCTTCTTGCGAGCGAGGTTTAGAGCTTTCGATGTAAGAGCTCTTGTAGTGAGCGAACCACGATTCAAAGGTATTATTATTTTTCTTAATTCTTGTTGTTTAAGTTAATTATGCTATGTGATTATATTAATTGTGAGTATGGTCTTGGCTCAGGTTTTCTTCCGCGGTGAGTCGGACTCATCGAAACCCAATAAATTGAAGCCTTCAATCAACCTTCTACGGAGTGGAGATGAACAAACAAACCACGAACCACCACCACCACCGTGTGCCACTAAGGGCCAGCGTCCATACGGTATAGACAGGGAGAGAGGAGGAGAAAGGCGTGTGAGAGAGAGGGGAAGGAGTTTGGTTGCTTGCTTCACAATTCTACTACTTAGAGTAAACACAATGGTTGACCACAACCATTGTGGTATAGGTTATTTTATTAATTTTATCCATCTTCTACCTCACCTATAACCACTTTTATACCCATTCAATAACCAATGTATCCCAATAGTTAACCACAACTTTTTAATTATACATTTTCTCACTCCTACTTTTACCCAACCCTACCACACAATATCTCTCTTAAATCCTATCAAATATAACTAATGCACTTGGTAATAATCAATCAAAACTAATAATTATTACGGAGTATTAGCATACATTAATTAAATAAAATGACTTATGTTTAAAATTAATGAATTTTATTATTTAATTAATAAGTAATTAGTCATTAATTAAGAAATATACAATAATTGTAACTTTACTAAATTCGATAATAATTAAAATAATACATATTTTATCAAATGAAAACAATCTTTAAAAGATAACAACGAACCATAATTAAGTACAAATACAATAATTAAATATTACGATTATATAACCATTAACGCAAATTATTTTTCCTACTGGATTTTGTAGGTTTTTTTTTCTTATTGGATTTTGGAATATTCATCTCTACACAATTTGATTTACGAGAGAGTAATATTCACTTTCATAAATAAAAAATTCAAAATACCTTAATATTAGGCTCATTTTATAGAGCAAACAAAATAAAGCCATTGGTATTTTTTTAGAATTATATTTTAAAAATTATGGTTGTTACAAAAATTACAACGGTTATTAAATTCATAATAAATCTTAGCCATTGATCAAATACATGAGTGTCATAATCTTCTTGTGCCACGTCATCATGGGTAGACATGAAAACCCATCAACTTGCAAAATTTTATTGCATAACCACAAGCAAATAACCGGTTATAGGAATAACCTGGTTATTGCAAATTTTCCCCAAGTTTTTCTCTCTCTTCATTTTTTTATTATTTTTTCAGTTTCTCCCTCCCAATAACCAACCCCAATGGTAAATGGATGTGCATGCTCTTAGCTAGGTTAATTGTAACGTGTGTACATAACCTAGGCAAGACCTCTATTTATATATCATATATATAATTAGAATCCATGTAAAGCCCAAACTCCCATCTTAATCCAAACTACTCTAGCCTTACAACTTACATGGCTTGTCATGACCTCATGAGACTCATTAATGGGCTTCGTAGTTGTTCAATCCAATACCATTGTGTGTGACCTCATAGGATCCATTCTATTAGCCTTTAGACTATTTAATTAGTCCAAAGATAATTTATTATTTTTAACAACAGACAATGACGACCAAAAAAATGAACTAATTATCTTCATAATAATGATCCTAGATATATTTAGAAATTGCAGGTGACGAAAACATAAATCATTCAAGTTTAATCTCATGGGGTCATCTCATATAACCTTACTAGCTTTAAATATGAGTGTGTGTTGCTTAAGCCTCACTTGGCTCATTCTCCTTGAACCAAGCAAGCACTTGCTCATGTAGGCAAGTGGGTTCCAGAAAACCTTGTGTGCCTATGCTTTCTTAAGTTGTTATTTTGTGTGATTCAGTCTCGTGTGCACTTTTTTTAAGTGGGTTGTTATTCTTGTTAACCTATTTTCTATTGGGCTTTGTACTATATTACTTTGTACTTCAAGAGCACTTAAGACTAAGGGCATGTTCTGATTTACTAAACTAAGCCGAATTGAATTGAGCTGAACTGAACTGATTGAAGCTGAACTGAGCTGGAATGAATATTTTATGAAAGAAGGAAATTTTCCTAAACTGATTGGAGCTAAACTGAACAGGATTGAAATTAAGCTGAAGATAACAAGCCCTAATTGGTGTTTGATTAGCATGATTTAAATTCAAATTAGACTTGAACCATTTTTTCTGGACCAAACTCGACTTAGTGACCCAACTAGACTTGATTTAACCCAAAATTGACTTAAACCAAAATTAGACTTTCACAGACACAATAATTTCGCATAACTCTAATCTAAACTAAACTCAATGTGACTAGACTCAACTCGATTAGACCAATCCCAACCTAATGACCCGAATTGACACTACCGTTAACGGGATACGGTTTTTCTACTGAAAGCCCAAGTCGTCATTTCTGTTTCAACCAAAAAATCGTCATTTGTATAATTGTATCATTGTATGTAATATTAAAAAGCATATTCTCTCTCCTTCTCTCTCTCCTCTCCATCTTGTGTCTGCATCCATCTCTCGTCCTTTTCATCTTTCCTCTTCTCTTCTGTTTCAACGTAATTAATTGGTTAATGCTCTTAGATTCTTCTGACCCTCTTCTCTTTTCCCCTTCACTAACTTCCTTCTTCCATTTTCCACCCAAAATTCAGCACAAATTAAGCAATACTCACCATTTTTTGATCGCAAATCATGGATCTGTGGTCTGTTCATGTCAAATACAGTAACCCAACTCCCATTTTTGCTCGAAATTCATTTCTTGATAAACCCACTTCCTTTAATTTTGCCAAGAATTCACCATTTTCAGTTGAAGATTGTGGGCGTTTATTTGATATTAGTATTCATTCTAAGCGCAAGCATTCTTTTTCTTATGGGTATAATACTTGTTCTTCCTTCGTTGTTCAAGCTAAAGGGAAGAAGAATTCTGATAATTTTTCATCTTCTTCAGGTACCCTTTCTATCATTCTTGTGAAGAATTCTTCCGAGTTGCTTTAATTTTTGCATTTGAATTTACCTGTTATTGTTTTTAGTGTTGATTTTATTTGCTTTTTTACTTATTGTTATTGCTTTGATATTTGCATTTTGTTATTGGTTTTCTTGGTTGTGTTTTAGGCATTATCGTAGTTACGGATTTTGTAACGAGTGGATGTCAATTAGCTTAGTCGGGTTTGTACCCAAGTCCTCGGATCAATAATTTCCATTTTTGGCTCTTTATACACCAAGAAAATGTATACGAAATATTCAATAAAAATGAAGTAGTCATGCAGTATAGTGACTATTACTTGGGAATATGATCGGGTGGATGTTTGTGTATTGGAAGCAATTAGCCAATTATTACGTCTTCTTGAGTGTTAAGGTTTCATTTCGAGGTTTTGCTACATGGTTTGGTACTTGTAATGGTGGAATTTGTTACAAAAGTCTGGACTCTTGGTTTCTTGGCTTTCGATTAGGTGCGCACTGATACAAGCCGAGTTGAATGTTGCAAGTTTTGGTGCTCGAGTTAAATGAATCACATGAACATAAATATAAGTTGTTGGAAGTTCTTTGTTCTAGCTTAATCATCAACTTTGTACTAGTTATATCTTACTATTTATTAGACACGCAGGTGATTGGAATGACGTTTGAGCACGTACTACTTTGAAGTTTGAATTATTGGAAAAACATATTCCTGAAAATCGGAAGGGTCTCATCGTAGTTTGAACTACTGAATGGAACTTGTTCAATTTATGGCTTCTTCCTGTAATGTTTTGGTACTTGTACTAGAAGTAGTGAGTGAACACAAGGACTAATATGCAATTAAAAATTTGATTGAAAAATAAGGATGCAGAATTTCTCGAGAACTTTCTTTATATTTTGTGCATTGTTTGGGTCTAGAAATGTTGTGTACATATGAAGTCAGTAATTTGTGATTCAATGTGCTCTTTATGTTACTTTATGATGACATATGCTAGGATATGTTGTATGAAAAAAAAAAAATTAAGACAAGTGTGATATGGTGAAGTTGGAGTCAAATTTGTTGAAGAGAGTGTTAATATTCTGCTTATATATTATTCACTTGATACTGAAGATGGGTTATCTTATAGCCATGTTGTAGTTTCTCAGTTTTAACATGGAAGGTATTCTCCTGAAAATGTGCCATATTTTTTTAATCTTGTGGTTCAGGATTTATTAAGAATTCTCTTTCAATTGACGAAACAAAATACATTGACGAGAAACGCGCAGGATGACTTGTTACTGGAATATCGTACCCATCCCACATCCCCTATCCATGAATTAGTGATAACTGTGGAAGAAAATGCTGAGATTTCTGACAGGATAAAGAACTAAAGCTCTGTCTACTGCCTTCCATGCCCAACATTTTACCACTACTTCTTTATTATCACATGCAGTAATCTCACTATTGTCTGGACTTTTATGAATTACCTGAGGTTTATGGATAGTCTAACCTAGTACATAGGTCAATGAGAAGAGCTAGAGTTTGGTTTTAATGTACGATGTATTCCTTATGAAGAGGTTATCAGTGTGATGGTTCTATTTACAGAAATTTGGAGTTACTGAGAGTATCTTATGTAGAAAGATACAATTATTATTCTTCTATGAATTTGATGTATACATTGAAGTGCAAAAGGTTTAGATGGGGATTTGGGGACTGAGAGTCTGAGATTGACTGCTGTTGAAGCGGTTTATATAGCAAGTTAAGTAAGGCAGCGAGCTTCAGATACTATTAGGTTTGTTTGAGTAATAAACTGTATTTCATTTATTTATGGGGAGGGGATAATACTTGTTGCAGTTGTATTGATTTAATAAGGAGCAGGAATTTGAATCCTTATTCTGTTGTGGGGTGAGAAGAACTAGATATGATATTTTCTAAAGAAAGGGAAACATAATTGTTCAGATGGAATTAACAATTCATCGAGGTTTTTTTTAAACTTAATAAGTTGTCTGCACACATGGGCATGATGACGGAAAAAAATAATATGTAACTCATAATTAAGGGTAGATCTATGTAGGATCCAAGGTGGCATGTTCCCAATTTTTATAATAACCTTTTGATGCAATGTATGATACAATAAATTAAATGTGTAAGCGTTACACAATTACACATTGAAACAATTATTTTATTGGTTGAGTCATACCCTGCACAGCACACGCACAGAAGTCCATGTTTCTAGAGATCTTTGGTCTTTGATCATAACTTTTGTAGTTGTAAGGTCTAAGGTATTGAAAAGCTGCAATTGCTTGGAATTTAATTGTAGTTATAGTGAAATTTTTTTGGATCATAAATATTTGACACTTTGAAAGCTTGAATGTAGAGATTAATCAAGATATATTTTTATTTACATCTTTATTGTATGTAAATTTCTGACATTTTATTGTTATTGGAAGACAGAGATTGTAGAGACATATAAAAATGTACATTATGAATTGTCTTACATCTGATAAGTTGAGAGAAATAACTAATCTACAAGCCACAGGTAAAAGCGATTATTGGTTTCTTATTTTTATTTTGGCGCACCATAGTTTCAAATCTCCCTTTCTGGGCACCAAGATATAAAGGGAAATATATAAAAATCAAAACTTGGTCCAATTTCAGCAAATTGCCTCCTTAAATATCTTGTTATATTTTATTACATCAAAACAGACCTTTAGTTTTGCTCATATATATAAGGAAAATTGAAAATTAATAATCCCACCTTTCTCATTTCTACTCGAAACAGTTCCACCTTTTCGAAATCCGGAAACAACCCCACCTCACCCCATCTGCCCAAAATGATACTTTTTACCTCTTTTTCTACAGGTAAATTTTTTTTTTTCCCTTTTTCTTCAATTTCTTTCCTTCATCTTCTACCTTGACCACCTGAAAAACTCCATAACCACCACTTCCTTCCCCTTCTTGGCAAAGTGCTCACACATGGCATGCATTTTTTTTTTTTTTTTATTATTATTATTATTTTTTCTTTTTATTTGTGAACATGGTTGGGTGCATGAGAAGATGGGGTGCTACGGTCAAAGGGGAAAGGAAAAGGGAAGTTCCAAACGAAGGACTCACTCTGAAGGGGCAATTGAAGGATTTTTCCTTTCCAAATTACTAGTATTTTCCAAAGAGCAGTACCAAAAAAATATTGATGTTCATGGCCAACGCATTATGTCATCTCTCACTCAAACTTCATGGTTTTGTTCTCTTCACTCTACCAAAACCTTTCAACCCACCCAAAAAAAACAGTCTTTTTTTACCCCACAAATCCCAAATTTATCAATTTTAAACCCTTGAAATTCTCTTCAATTATTGCCAGAAATTCGAAAGATGAATTGAAGGAGCCAGAAGGGAAGGGGGGAATCGGGGAAGAGGCAAGGTGGGGGAGTTCATATTTGGCAGGGAAAGGGGTGGGGTGTTTTCGGCGGGGAAGGGGGTGCTGCGGCAATGAGGAGGGAATCGGGGAAGAGGCAAGGTGAGGAAGGGGTGGGAATAAAGGAATGGGGTGGGGGTGTTTTCGGTGGGGAAGGGGAGTGCTTCGGCAGAGGTTCGTGGGTTTTTGGTTTAGATGGATATGGATCGGGAAGAGGGAAGAGGAACAGGAAAGTAAAGAGGGTGAGGGCTGATTTGTTTTTCTAATTATTTTTGTTTCATATTTTTTGTAATTATTAAAAAAAAATTAAATAGGACCAATTAAAAGGAGGACATGTAACACGTAACTTCACCTCATAATCCGGTAAAAGGCTTGTTTTGAGAATATGGAGGTTAAAGGTGGGATTGTTTCCAGATTTCAAAAAGGTGGGATTGTTTTGAGCTAAATTGGCAAAGGTGGGATTATTAGTTTCCATATTCCCTATGTATAAGCACATTGAATTAATCCACCAGCTGAAAATTTTTATTAGAAAATGAAGCATAAAATGAAGTATAATAAATGCTTTCTTGTGTATCCAATCAAAACCAAAGAGAGAATTGGGAGCATGGTATCTTTCTCTCTAATGTATCCATCATCTTGCTCCTCCTATTTTTAATATAATACATTGACCTTATATTAAAAGCCTAAAATATAATACATTGACCTTATATTAATTCCTCTGGAGCCCTACCCAGGTGGCATGGGGGTGCTCTGCTTTTCGGAGCAGACCAATCTTCCGAGGGAGGGAGGGGTTGTATGTAGGTAGTGATGTCAAATTGGGCGCCTAGGTCAGGTTCAAGCCAAGTCAATTGCATTTGGCTCATGCTAGATAAGTATTTCTTGAAGATTGAATTTATGTTCAGGTCACTTTGGATTTGGTCTGGTTGTTCTCAGATCTGTATCATATAGCTATAGATGTTGGCAGCCATATTATGTAATAATAGGGAGGTTGTTTCCAGTTGACTTTTTATTCAATATACAATGACTATTTGCAAACAAACATTCAATATGATATCTTTGGGTCATTGAAAGCCTTGTTAATTGTGGATGTGATTGTAAATGTAGGAAATGGTGACCATTCAAAATCAGGGGGGAACGGTTCCAAAGGAAATAATTCTGATGGGAAGAAATCAAATAACAATGCAAATCAAAAGCCTCAGCACATAATACAAGACTGGAGAGAGTTTAGAGCTACACTCTTTGCTCGTGAGCAGGTAATCCATAGTATTTTGGGTTTTCAGTTATCTTTGTTGCTTTATTCTTGCTGGTACCCTGTAATATATCTATATGTCCAAGATTGCTATAGATAAGTTTTACAGTCACAATAATTCTAGAAAGCTTTGCAATGTCTGTGATGCTTTGGTTGCCTGTCTGGTCATTTGGTCCTGCCACGTCTGAAACTTGAATAAATTTACTCATGGCTCCTTTTTTGTTTTATGCCTGTTTTTGGCACTCAATCTTGTTCCAAATATGTATATTAGTGTGTAGAAAATTACAAGTATGCTAGAATATGGATCCTGTGTACGATTGCCATTTGATTTTTTTAGTTTATTGCTGAAGATTTTTGCACTGTTTGTAGAAATATTCTTAGCCTTTGCAACATTGAAAAGATTTTAAGAAAAAGAAGATTATGGAGTTTTGCTGATTGATGGTGATTTTTTATTTTTTTTTTTTTATTTTTCTACTTTTTATAATTTAACAAAAAAAAAGATTGGGGTTTTGATTGGTGAAAAATGAATAAGTGGGGATTGGTTGATTAAAGGTGAAAAAAACTTTTATTTAGAGATGGAGGGAGTAAGTCTTAAAATTTTGATTTTTATTATTAATGCATCCAAAAATTCCTTGGGATTATTAATGCATCCTTGATGCCCCTTTTATTTTTATTATTTCTCATTTTTCTATGAGGCTGCTCTAAACTGTTTGCTGTGATCTCTTATGGATTTTGATCGCTAAAAATTTTCGTGATCTTGTTATATGAACTCTTAATTATTATTGAGGAGTTTATTTTGTTTGGGTTCATGTCATGTTCACTGATTATCGAAAGTAATGGACAATGATGTCGTTTTGAGTTAGGAATAGTAATGAGAGCCGAATTCTAATTTGGCAAGGGAATTTATACAGTTGATGCATAATTTAGTTGCATCTTGGGACGACAGCAACTAAATGTTTACCAGCTAGATATTCTGGAACCCACTTTTAGTTCCATGCTATTTAATTACTGAATTGTTAGTAAATTTTCAGTTGACAAGTTAGTTTTTGATGATCTCAAACATGGTAAAGCATTTGGTAAGATGATTTAAAGACATTGTGTACAATGAGCTACTTCTAGCTCGAATTTCCAAATGGCTTCATTTTAGTTGTTATGCAATATGCTTTTATCCCTTTTGTTAACTTTGCCCTCCTATAAACCCCCAGTGTGAACTGCTACTATCTTTAAATACCTTTCTGATAAGGATATTTGACTGATTGAGTCATATTATGGGACTTCTTTTTTCATTTGCATAATGCTTAATACAGCAATTGGCTTTGTTGAGGGAGTAATTCAGACTGATTGTTGACAGTTATTTTCTTGTGGAATTTGCATGGGTAACCTGGTGCATTATTACTATTCCATCTCTTCTCCTGATCTATGCTTGTAAATCTTATTAGGCAGAATCAGTTGACTCCAGCAGTCATGGCCATGACGGCTCACATACAGAATCAAAACCATTAGGCATGAAGTGGGCCCATCCTATTTCAGTGCCAGAGGCAGGCTCCGTTCTTGTTGCCACAGAAAAGCTAGACGGTGTTCGTACTTTTGAGAGAACTGTGGTTCTCCTCCTCAGATCTGGGACTCGGCACCCTCAAGAAGGCCCCTTTGGAGTTGTAATCAACCGCCCTCTTCATAAAAAGATCAAGCACATGAAGCCCAATAATCTTGAATTAGCCACCACCTTTGCTGATTGTTCATTGCATTTTGGTGGGCCCCTTGAAGCAAGCATGTTCCTGTTAAAAACAGGGGAAAAACCCAAGATTCCTGGATTTGAAGAGGTTATCCCTGGCCTGTGTTTTGGTGCTAAAAATAGTTTGGATGAAGCAATGGGATTGGTGAAAAAAGGTGTGCTTAAGCCTCATGACTTCCAATTTTTTGTTGGTTATGCTGGGTGGCAACTTGATCAATTACGGGAAGAAATTGATTCCAAGTATTGGCATGTGGCTGCATGCAGCACAAACTTGTTATTCGGCAGTTCACTTGATTCGTCAGAAGGTTTGTGGGAAGAGATTTTACAATTGATGGGTGGTCAGTACTCAGAGCTCAGTCGAAAGCCTAAGCAAGATCTGTAATTGTACTTTTTTTTACGGTGCAGGGACTTGTATACTTAGTAATAAGCTTGTGGTGGAATATGAATGAGTACGAAAGTTTGTATGTTGAAGTGTTAAACTGAATGTACATAGAAGGTTGGAGAATACTTTCAGATAGTAGATTGCGCTTTTTAGTTAGCCTATTCAGGTACTTGTATGTAGTTATACTGCATCTTCTTTAATTTTAAAGACTCATTTTCTATAGAGAAAATTAGCCCAAATAATTCAGAATTTTGCTGCTCTGCTGTTAATTCGAGTTTGTAAAGTATTTACTAGTACTAAGCAGTACTTTGTAATATATAAACTCCCTCATGCTTACAACTGCATCGTGTAATCTTAACAGCTTGAGTAAAAATAGTCCATGTATCGACTACTTGGTACTACTACTTACTCCTATATACGAAATATATCTATGTTTGGCTTTCTAAAGTACCTTTGGCAGTAAATTGCTCTTATTTTATACCGAGTATTCACTTGTCTTATCATTGCACTTTGTAAGAAATATGGGATATGGGAAAGTTATAGTCAGAAATTTTGGCATTAAAAGTCCATGACACATATTAAAACGTTGTAGTATATTATAAGGTACGAGTGTGTGTGTAACTGGACCAAAATCAGCTTAGATGCTTGATGGTACAAAATTCTGTTACGGTTAGAAACAATCAAACATGCACAAATTGGTATTAGCAATGACTTTTGGTTGGGGGGGGGGGATAATTAGGTTGGTAGTCATTGAGAGGATTTTAAACAAGGGTTCTAATGATGGTAGGTGGCGATAATTAGGATGATAATTCACAACAAGGTTCTAAAATATGGATTCTAAATATGGCAGGTAATGCTAATTAGATAGACTGATCGTCACCATAGGGATATGTGGATTTTAAAGATGACAGGTGAAGTTGATTAGGTAGGTAGTCACAACTGTTTTTTTACACGCGGATTAAAAAGATGACCAATGAGGCTAAGATGGCAAGTGCATAGATTAGTCGCTACTCGCTAGTCACAAAATAATTCAAAAGTGTAGATGCCTCTCAAATTATACAGAGTACCATTTGTAACGTAACAAGCTAAGCCATTTGTTCCAAAGAGGATGAATGTAACAGATATTAATTTGCTCCTTTGCATGGTTGAAAAAATGGGACTGTATAGTTGATACCTTATGATATTATTGATGTCCATACAATGTTCTTCATATTAAAAATATCCAGATTTGTTCATGTAATTTCCCTTTTAATGTTGATACAAGTAAATAATGGTAGAGATAGTAAACGAATAAGGAACACTCTGTTAACAGCTTAACACAAGGTTAGTTGGGCCAGATTAGGTGTCACGGCAAGGTTTTAAACATGAATTTTAGTGATGGCAACTGTGTTAATTAGGCTGCCAGGCTGGTAGTCATGGCATGGTTTATAAATGTAAGAACATATAGAAGGTTGCGTGGGCTCAGTTGATAGTAACAAAATAATATTAAACGTAACTAGCACGAGTCATTGTTCCGAAAAGGATGTACATATCTGATAAAGCAGTTGTAATTTGCTCCTTTACATTGATGGAAAGATGGAACTATGTGGATGATACCTCATAATACTCTTACAAAGTTACAATGTAGTATATATAACTGGACCAAATCAGCTAAGACACGTAATAAGATGAAAAGATTAGAAACAACCAAACAGGCACGAACTGGTATTAGCAATGAAATCAAACTTTCAGGTACATGTAAATATGGACATATAAATCAGCACTCTACATTGTTTACATATACGTGTATAGGCTTTGGATTTACAATTCCCCTCATCTCTTACTCTTTTCCTTTACAAATAAATCTCCACATTCTAAACACTTGGAATACACCAGGTAAAAGAGTTTGTCAATCCTATTCTTCTCCGACACTCACTGGAGCTCTGTTCGAATCCTGGTTGATTAAACTTTTTTAGAATGTATATACCCGCTTCTCTCAAATGTCATGTTGAGCTCCTTTGTCATCAGCCAAGTTCACGAGGAGAAACAGTTTCTTTTGTGTTATACTGTCAGTTACCAGCCATTTCTTCCATTAGAGTATTGCAGCTGAACCTCCCCAACATCATTATTGGTTTTGTTTCTGGCTTTCTCCATGCGCGATTTTCTAACAGCCTGCTGAATTTGCCTCTCATGCTCTTTCAACATATCTTCAATATTTCCCCCAGGAGGAACAAGAGGTCCAGAGTAGTGAATTCTGTTTTTCTTCGGCACGTAACCCTTTTACATTGAGAAACATAAGAAGATTAAATATGTGAAAAAGCACCATTTGTATCTGAGTGAAGTAAAGAATGAAAAACGTTTGGATACCCAAATATAATTGTGATTGTTGAGGATACTTACATTGTCTTTGCCAGAAGGCCAGTCATCCCTTGTGTATGAGTCTGCTCTGTCTGGAGTCACAGCATGTTTTTGAGACCTTGAATCAGGTCTATCTTTTGAAGCGCTGTAAGCCCTTCCTGGGGCTTGGTGTGCATCATTTTCATCCTTAGCCTTTCTATTCCATGCCGATCCAACAGCACTTGGGTGAACCATTGAACTGCAATGAGATAGACCATTGGCTGTGTTTCGCGTTTGTGCATCAACTGTAAAGGCATTCCCTCCATTTCCTTGAGCATTGTAATTTCTTGCACTTTTATCTCCCTACAATAAAATGTTTTCAAGCAAAGTCAGGTAATGAGGCACATGAAACTAAAACTATCAATTGATTGAGTGGAAAAGTACCTTTAAAGAGACTTCTCCATTAGCATCATACTCTGGGGTTGGTTTGGAATCTCTTGGACCTCTCCTAACAGATTCAGGCCCTCGTCCTTTAACAGCATCTGCCTTTCGCCTGAAATAATATTACAGGGAATTTAAACGTAGGATGAGTTTTAATAGCCATTAAAATTAAAGGACGGGCTTGTAAGTAATTAAATTGTAGTGGCAAGGTAATACATGCATCTCCTTCTATGCTGTTGATTGTGATATTAGTGCTCCAAATAAGGCTTAATTTCTACTGCGTTTTTCTGATTGCCAGTTTGTTAATTATTCTTTTGGAAGAAATGAAAATTTTTCTTCTTCAAGGAAATTTATAAATGGTGAGAGCAAAAATACTGCTGTTAAATTGATTACTAATGTTTAGTACATACCTTCTGGCTTCTTCATCACGGACTTTTATGTCGAATTCCTTCGTTGGAGGACATTTTGGCAAGCATAATGGATCACAAGGAAGTGGATGCGTTGTGAAAAACTGGATGGGAAAAATGAAGTTTTTACAAAGTGGAATAGACAATCAAATGCAAATAGATTGCCACAGAATAAAGTTCACTGACTCCTTGCTTTGATAAGAAACAGTTGCAACTATGCAAGGTCAAAGCAGGCTAGAAGTGGAGCAACTTAAGAAAATGATATAACATTGACATACATAATATTTGAGTGATTAAAAGACAGTATAAACAAACCTGTTGCAGATGTAACCTTGTTATCTTTTTAATATACCAAAGGTGATTTTTCACAAATTTGAGTGTAAAACAAGCATTAAGAAAAAATATGAGTATAAAACAAACATTAATACAAAAATAATATACAAGAATATGATTTTCACAATGTCTGTCCTTCTAGCACTAGCAAAGTCATGGTTCAGACGTTCAATGAAAAATGCACAGCAGGATCAAAATGTCAAATTTCATTATTGAGCAGTGATAGTAAAAAAAAAATGAAATAAACATATAAAACGGTAATCACCTCGCTTTTTAAAGCAGCTGAAGCGGTTCCTCTTCTTTCTGGTTCAATAGAGAGAAGGGCATCAACAAGCGTTAAAGCTGAAGCAGGAAAGTCTTTAAATGTCTCCATGAGACGGCGCTTATATGGTTGTGAGGGTTTAAAACTAGTTGCATGCGGGAATTTTGTCCTCTTCCAGTATAATTCAGATGGTGAGCCACAAAGCTTGAAAATCTTGTGCATTTGTTCCACCTATACATGTTCACAAATGATCCATAAATATTTGAATTCTGATGTTGGTTTAAAACAATGATATAGCTAACTAAATACTTCGTATATAAGTTCTAAAAGTAAGGTGTTCATCAAGAATAAAATTGATGCAATCGAATTTCTGGCTAGAATTTGCATTTATTTGTGATGAAGTATTGTGATCTCCAACTGAAATTTTTAAAGCGCTGGAAATAGGAATAGCCATTATTATTGCAGACAAAAAAGATCTCAATATCAATACTTTGTGACTGAGTTTATACCAATTTCTCACTTAAGCTTCTCTTAGGAAACTTGAGGTTTAAATGAATACTCAAGTTAAAGAACATGAATGTAGAGTATGACAAGAAGCATTTTTTAGTTTTCACAGGACGTGACTCGTGAGGTGACCTAATGAGTAACCTTTTTGCAGACTAAAGATCCTTACTAAGAAATGGGGTGTAATTGACCCTCTTATTTTTAGAATTCAAAGTTTGCAATATCAAAGATTTAATAGAGGAACAAATGAATTTCTGGTTCACTTCAGATTACCTCTGTTCTTCCTGGCATGATTGGCTTCCCAGCGAATAGTTCTGCAACTATGCAACCCACACTCCACATATCTACAGCAATGCCATAGTTAGTTGAGCCCAGCAAAAGTTCAGGTGCCCTATACCATAAGGTTACCACACGACTTGTTAATGGCTGCTTTTGGCCAGGCTTGAAGCAAGTTGCCAGACCAAAATCTGCAATTTTGAGCACACCGTCATTGTTGATGAGAAGGTTTGAACCTTTGATGTCTCGGTGAAGGACTCCACGACTATGGCAGTGTACTAGTCCAGAGAGCAGCTGTTGCATATAGCACTTGATCTGAAAGAGTACAAAATTAAGATAAGAAAAAAAAAAAAAAAAAAAAGGATATTAACACAAAAATATGGATCTCTCTTGATAAATAATTAAATAATAAATAGTATACAGTTTCGTGAATAAGTTGACAGGAAGTACCTGTGGTTCTGTGAATCTATTACCAGGCCTTGCTAAAAGCCCAGCTAGATCATGCTCCATGTACTCAAACACTAGGTACAAGCTTCCTGACATCCTTGATGTGACTAAACCCTCAAGCTTCATAACGTTTGGATGATCTAATTTACGTAAAATAAGTATTTCCCTAGCCATGAACCGAACACTCTCTGGATCCATGTTGACAAACCTCACTTTCTTCATAGCAACTAATTTCCCAGTTTCAAGGTCACGAGCCTTATACACACTGCTGTAAGTTCCTTGTCCAATCTGTGTACAAGTAGCAAATGAACTGGAATAAATAATCTAGACAGTTAAAACTTGGTTAATAAACTTCAGAGAGACAAGCTTGTGTAAGCACTAGTGCATTTATACAGGAAGATGCATGTTACAACAGATAACTAAATCAGAAACACAAAAACACCAGAAAAAAGTCGGCATTGTTTGTTACCTTTTATTATCCAAATGCAATTCAATTAAATCATACCCCTAACTCTATATCGTACAATGTAGGAACCTTAACTCTGAATACAAAATCATGCATGCATGGATATTATTGTCTTGAAATCCCTAGTTCATTTCTCAGTAAACATTGATCTCAATTGAAAATATGCAGACTACAAGAGTAAAGTTTTTCCTTGAAGAACAATTCAACAAGATGTTAAGCTATTTGGGTTCACATTGTATGACATTTTTAATAAAAGGCAATTAAATTGAACAAAACTAATTGATGGGAGATTCTACAATTCTACTTATGCATGTAACATCAAGAATACATTCTTGCACTTTTAATGCTGCAAACAGATAAATAAAATCTTTATTTAAGGAAAAACAAGCTAAAGAAAGATGACATAAGTAACAAATGAGACACAAAGCACAAGATACAAAAACATTCTTGAGAGGAATCGTGAATGGAAAACTAGAATAAAAATTATGCAAGACACAAACAGAATTCAGCTGCAAGACCATGGAAGCAAAAATGCAAGCGCAGTCAAAGAGTCACAATAATCTTAACATGTCATAATGAACTGTCATAAGAACCAAATGTATACAAACTAAGAAATAAGCAAGAAATAAAGAAAATCCAACTGACTTTGTCCAACTTCTCAAATGAATCTGCCCTTCTAGGCACCCATCCGTGTATAGCCTCTCCGGCAACAGAACTCAACCAAGAAGGCCAGCCAGCAATAACTTGCTCGCCATGAGGGCCTCGCGGTATACTAACTATCCCGTTCACAGGCTTAGGACCTCCATTAACTCCTAAATCCACGGTAGCCCCCCTTCTATGATGAGACCCTCTAGATGATGGTCTTTCTACAATAATTGTCTTAGGTTTCTCCCCTTGATCATCCACTTGTTTATTGGATAAAGAACTCGAATAGCCATTCGACAAAGTACCCGAATTGACCTTTGAAGGAGGCCTGCTAGACCCACTCAGGGAACCTGAAAGATTGGCACCAGAAGGTACCCTTGATGGTGGCCTACTCCTAGTTGACCCGTCACCAAACCCATTCGAATTCTCCCTAGTTGTTGAGGGAAGCAAATGTACTTGAGACTTATTCACCTCTCTTTGTTCATTATTACCAGATGATTCCTTAAGAGTAGAACAAATGCAGCCCATAATAACAATCAATCCCCTTCTAAGCCACCTTTCTACAAACAGGTTATGTGCAAAAACTCTAACTCGACCGCCTTTTGATAATGTTTTGGCATTAAAACACCAACTTAAACCCTTTTATGCCCTTTAAACCAATACGGGCACCCTTCAATTTGGTCAAATTTCACAATGTACCAAAAATTTTCCAGGTTTGTCAATTGGGTTCTTCAAATTACAAGAGAAGAACTCAATCAACTACCCGAAAAAACCAAAAAATACCCAGTGAATTGAATGAAACCCGGAAAATTGAATGAATGGAATGAATTTGACTTGCCAATTTGGCAATGTATGCTAAAAACTTGATTGAAAAAATTAAAGTCAAAGGCAATATAACCCAGATGATGATATTGATAAAAAAAAATTGAATGAAATGATCAAAAAATTGTACTCTATTAAGATTTGGTTTAAGGAGAAGAAAATAAAGAAATAACGAAATAATTGAATAATTCAATGTTTTAAAAAAATAAAAAAACCAGACCAGAAATCCAAGAAAAAAAAATAAAGAATAAATTTGAAAGACAAAAATACCCAAAAAATTAAATTATGAATTAAGAGTTTCTGGTCTAGGTGGGCCCTCACTGCAGCTTCCCAAGAACTCAAAAAAAGCTTAAAAATCTAAGGAAAACTCCATTAATATAAAACTCTACAAGAAACTAATTAATTAATTAATAAAAAACAGAGGAAGAAAAAAAAGATTATAAATTAAAACAGGGTGAATATTTTAAGTCTTTTTTTTGTTTATTTCACTCAATTATTTATTTATTTTTTTATTTCCAGATGGATTTGTTAGTTGTTTAGGGGGGTGTTTTGATGTAATCCTACAAATGCGAAAAGCCACAAATTATGATGCAAATTTTAGAGAGGGAAAGTTAGAGAGAGAAAGAAGAAGCAGCATGAAGATGGAGGGAAGAAACAACTCAAAACAAACAGATTCTTTTTTGTTGTTGGTTTGTTTAGTTTCAAATATTCAGTTAATAAAAAGGTGTTGTTTGCCACGAAGAAATGCCACGTTGGCTATTAAACTAACGTTAATAAATAAATAAATATCTAAATAAAAAGAATTGGCACTTCTTAAAATGAGTAATCCGTAGTAACTAGTAAGCTACCCCGTAATAACCTAGTAATTAGTTGCAATGTGGTTTTTAAACTTATGAGTTATGATGGGTGCGGCTAATTAGATAGCATTTAGAGACGTATATCTAATTAGGTTGATAGTCATAACAAAGTTTAACTAAAAATGTGATAAAAGATGGCTCTTCACAAATGTACTCTCTCTCTCTCTCTCTCTCTCTCTCTCTCTCTCTCTCTCTCTCTCTCTCTCTCAATGTGCTAGAAATTTTTCTTCCATCAATTTTTCATAGGGATTGAACCTCCAACTTAATATTTTACATAAGTATGAGTTATTATTTCAGAAACGATGAAAAATATAAAGATAGCTTTTATATGTGAATTATAAAGATGGTTTTGTAGAGCTGATTAGGTAAGTAATCACAATAAATACATAGGATTATTACAACTAGGCTTATTTAGGTTGGTAGTTAAGCCATAGTTAATCTCTATGATGTTCTTCATATGTAATTTACTAGTTAAACATCTTTTTCTTATCATGTTAAAAAATATTTAATTCGTTTAATATGCAAGTAAATTAAGACACCGGATATAATGAACAAGGAACTACAACATTATCAACTAAAAACATAATTAGGTCAATTAATCACATGGTTTTTTATTTTTAAATTTTTTTGTACTTAAAATGTTTTTTTTTCAATTTTCTCCCTTCCTCCGTTAAATCCGGCCACCTTGACCCTCACCAGTCACCACCTCCCTTTCCAGCCACCCTCCCCTTCACCTCCCTTTTCAGCCACCTTGTCTTTCTGGCCACAACCCGCCCGAAACCGGCCAATACCCACCCCAAAAACCCCACCCTCCAAAACCCACACCCTTGAAACCTCCACCAGCCACCATCTTTCCTATCACTAGCAAACCCTGAAACCCCCTATCAACACGCTACTATCCTCCTTCGACAGCAATCGCAAGCAGCCGCCACCAATCGCCCCCCGCCCCTGCTGCTCCCTCACGCACCAACCCGTAACACCACTCACCTACGAGCCCTCTACTTCCCAGTACTAGCACCACCTGCTCGCAAGTCGCAACCCCTCGCGTAGCAGAATCGCGCCCACTAGCAGCCACCAATTCGAACAAGCAAAACTGTAGCCCACGGAGCTACAGAGTTGACAGGGAGGCTGAGCAGGAAGGTAGAAAGGTAGGGGAAGTGCACTAGGGCAGAGAGAGTGAATTGGTGGTTGTGGCCTGTGGGGAAAGGGTGGGTGGGTGGCTGAGAGGAGGAAAGAAGGATTTTTTTTTCCTTTATTTATTTTGTTAAATTGAAAAGCAAGAAAAAAAATTACTTAAAGTGTAGGTAACCAGTAATCTTGGCCTAATAAAAACGAATAGGGTGTAAAGCTTGGATTATTCATGAATAACCAAACGGTCAGATTATTAAAAATAAATGGGATATTCCCATTGATACACTCCAGGTTTTGACTTTTCTCAATGGTACCACAGTTTTTTTGACTTCCTGCTGATACACCCAAGGTTTTTGACTTTATAATTCACGTACCTAAGTCTGTTAATCAGACGTTAATAACTTGATAAATTAACATCTTAGGCTTAGTAAAAGATGAAATGACTAATATACCCCTTTTTTAATCCATTCCCTCCAAATTTTCCCCCTTAAATTGTCTGTTATTTCCCTCCAACTTCTCAAACCCTATTCCCTCCCTAAAAAAAGCCACTTTCCCCTCTTCTATTCTCCATTAAAGTTCTCTTCCATTGTTGCATACTTATCTCATCTCCATTAAAGCTCCCTTGCTGCAAACTTATCTTCTCTTCTGACATTGCTGCAAACTTATCATTGACTGTGTATGTTTAATATTGAGATCAACTAAAATAGACAAAGTAACTAAAATGTGGGACAAATTGAAATAGACAAAATGGCATCAGTTGTCAACATTCATAAATATATATAGGTTATTTGGGAACATTGCAAAAATCCAACTTTCAATAGTAAAGTTGTCTACTAAATTACCAAATAACAACAGCAAAAATCATCCCAAATGACCAAAAAACAGAGTTAACTACAAGCTTTGACTTTTTATCAAATTATCAAAATGCATATGCCACTATACTGCAGAACAAAAGACTTAGGAGCTTGGAGAATTTGATTTTCATTGAGACATAGGCACTGGTTGGCTAGGCAACTGTGAAGCTGTCAATACTGTTGCTTGCTCAGTTGAGGGTCTGCCCTTCTTTCCCTTTGGTTGTTTGATGAAGCTGCAGACTGAGATCCAACTTCTTCAGATTTCTTTGCTGCCTTAGCTGCCTTTGCTGCATTGCTTTGGTCTTTGACCCTAGGATTTTTTATGACAAGAGGCTCATTTGACTTCAGTTCTTTCCCAGATAAGCCTCCCTTACAAGTTGTCTTATTATGGCCAAAGCAACCACATTTGCTACATTTGACTGTTTTGGACCTTTTTCCAGGTGATAGGCTTATCGCGTACCTAACAAAAATAACCTAACTATTCCTTCTAACTGTGTAGTAGGGCAAGTAAGGATCGAATCCCAAGAGACTATGGTTCATTCAATTAATCAGACTCAATTAATCACTAAGCACGTGACCAATCAATAATGGATGATAATAATCAACTAATTTATTAAATAACACAATTAACTAGAGGAAATATTAATCAATAAACTAAAGCATCCAAGATCAAGCATCACCACGATTATGATTGATAAACTAATAAATCTACCCCCAATATATAAATCAATTGACAAGAAGAAAAGCAATCCCTAATAATAATACCAAAGGTCTCTTCCGAGTTATCAATGGCTTCCCAAATTAACTATCAAGCCTACTTCCGTGGAATCAAGCGAATAAGGGACATTAAACACCATGCCTAGATTCCTAATTATTCAATCATCTACTTCCGTGATGATCTTCAAACCCTTAATTGAAATAACCTAATCCCGTTAATACCCAACTTCCGTTGCAATAAGAACAAAGGGATGATAACAATACTAATTATCCCTAATCTAGTATTGGCATAAACACAATCAATTAAGCATGTCAATTGGGATTATTATTGGGGAATTTAAAGATCTACTTTATACATCAATCATAATCGGGCTTAGCAAGATCCCGGATTAAGGAAACTACTCACACATCATAATAAAATCAAAATCAAGATCTAATAGAGAACACATAATTAAAGAACTATAAAATAAATAAAAGAGATGGAAAGTAAGAAATACCAAATACTTCAATTGATGATCTTGAATTCTTGAGGAACAATTAATAAAACTAGGATTAAAGATTGAAATTGCTTAAGAAAATAAAACTAGGGTTCTTGAGAGTTTTCTAGGGCTTAAGGAGAAAACTAATGAAAAACTAACTGTCTAAAAGTTAATTACAAAAGGGTATTTATACCCCCAAAAGATAATATTTCGGAAAAATAAGAAAATACGCGTTCTTGAGCTTTGCCCGGTCTGACCGGGCGGACCTCGCCCGATCGGGCGGAGGAAGGCTGCGTAAAATACGACAGTTTTCCTTCTTTGCCCGGTCTGACCGGGCGAACCTCGCCCGGTCGGGCGCGCGTAACACGTTTCCAAAATTGCATCTCATAACTTGATTTCTTCATCGCCCGGTCTGACCGGGCGAAGCCTGCCCGATCGGGCATTCCACATAAATTTCAGTTCTTGGCTATCAACTCTTCCGAATCTACTAAAAACACGTCCAATTGCCTAGAAACGCTTCATATTCCTGAAAAGCTTACTAAAACAATCGAATACACTAAAGAAGAGATTGTTAGCAAGAAATAGCTCCGTAGAGCTCAAAACCATGTAAAATCATGCAATCAAACCGGGGAAAACCATTGTATAAAACACGTATATCAAATTCCCCCAAGCTAAACCTTTGCTTGTCCCTAAGCAAAGCAATGAATAAATAAATCAATACTTCACCCCAAAAGTAACTCAAATCAATAAATACGATTAAAGGTAAACTCGACAGTTATGCATCAAAGTCAACCAATCAAATCCATCTAACTACTCATCCTGTCTGACAATGGTCAAATAGAGCAAACCACAAGAGCATATAGAATTCAAGACTAGTGTTCACACACTCAACTCTCATTTATGTGGCGAGTAAAAGATATACTCGGTCGCTCTCCATCCAACTCCTTTAAATGTGAACAATGCCCTCCCAAGCTCACGCACTCGTGTGTTTTAAGAAAACAAGCACTCAACCTAGCAGTCGACTCGAAATATATCAAATCATTCTTTGCATTGGAAAACAACTAATTTCACATTCACACAACTCTATGCACAAAGGTCAGAAGGTCTTCAAAGCTTGTAATGTAAGGCTAGGGTAAAAGGTGGGAAATATTTGGGAAAATGTAAGAGTAAAGCTATGCTTAAGGGAGCCAAAATCCTAATAAATAAAACCAAGGTCAAAACAAATTAATGACCAAATCATCTCCAACACAACTCAGCTCTACCAAAAATTCACCAAACATCCCAATTATATTAAAAATTTCCAACACTTAAAATTTCACTCATATATACAAAATATAAAATTATAGAACTTGAGTAAACAAACAAACTTTGAACTCTCTTTTTTTTTCCTTGAGCAGCCTTCAATTAGAACACTTGAACATTGAAACAATTTTTTTTCCTTTGCTCTTTCTTTTTCTTTTTTTTATCTCACATTGGAATTTTTTTTTTTCTTTGCACAATAAATTTTCAATTTTTTTTCAATCCACAACAATAAGAACAAATAAAAAACTTCTCAAATCCACCCAGGCACACTACAACTCCCTCACCTCACTCACTATTAGCTCCCCCAAGCCAAGCTTGGGACTAGTAACCAATGGGGCTTAAATAGGCTTGTAATGTGGCAAAATAAACAATAAAAGGGCACAAGCAACAACATGGGTAGCAAGAAGGGAACAAATGTATCTAATATCGTCTGAAGGCCACCTAGAGGAACAAATGCCTTCGTCCTCCTCAATGTGCATATTAATGAGTCATGCAAACGTTACTCAAAGTTATAAACCAATACTCAACTTCATTGACATACCAGGAACTAACACACATTCCTAACCAAATCAACTAGTCAAGCACTATATTCACAAGTAGTTGGGCAAAATTGACTCATGTTAAGACATCCAAGCAATCAAACATCAAATCATGGCTAACCTATCCACAATACTCGTCATCATATACCAAGAATTAAAACAATTTTCATGAATGGGGCACAGGGAAGCATGATTTATTATTCATTGGATCGTATTTTTTGTATGTTTTTTTTCTTTTTCAAAGCAATAAAATCTAACCTAGAAAGCAATAAAATCTAGACTATGAAAGAAATAAAACTAAACTGAATACGTCAAAAAACAAAAAGAGAGAGAAAAGAAAGATACCTTAATCCAAAAATCTCCCCCAAGCCAAAATCAGACAATGTCCTCATTGTCTTAAAGGGAAGCTAGTAGTCAAGGCGACTACTACTTATCATCATCACCACAACAATGTCACCAAAGCCTCGAGGATTTCAATGCATCTCTTTGGAACAAATTTGGGCAAGAATGAAACAAAGTGTTAGTGGGAAAAATATAAAAATTGAGTTATGCGTACTATTCTGATCATAACTTTTTTTGTATAAATTATAATGCAGTGATTCTAATTGTGTTGGAAAGTAGACTTGAAGAGCTTTCCAACGATAGGTCACACGCAAAAATCCGATAAGAAACGTAAAAGTTACGGCCTGTTGAACTTGAGCAGTTTTGCTGATCCGTACGCGCGCCCGATCGGGCGAGCTCTGCCCGAGCGAACCCGAGTACAATCCAGCTTTCTTCTCCTTTAAAATCGAAACCTTTCTAGATCAAAACCTACACATATAGAAACTCCCACAAGAATAAAATATCCTCTCCTTACCTCTCTAAAATAAAACAAACGAAAACACAAAAATTAGAAAAGACTAAAATAAAAATAATGAAATACGGGTTGCCTCCCGTAAAGCGCTAGTTTATCAAGGTCTTAAGCTTGACCATTCTCCTTCCATCAGAAGAACTTAACGCCTTGAGTAACTTATCATACGCTCCTGCAAACATTTCATTAAGCACTATATAGGGCTCAATTGCAAGCACAGTAATCCTTACATAGAAAAGATTAGGAGCACACAAAGAAAACTCAAGGTAAAAAGAAAAATCAAAAGAAAAAGATGAAGATACACCACAACCTTCTGCTTCCTCCGCTAAAAATTTAGAATTAATAGAACGAACATGGAGGTAGTCTTGTTCTGTATCATCACCCAATAACGACTCTATTATTTTACGCTCACGAATAAGTTCATTACCAAAGGAAAAAGAATTTTCAACCATTGGTTCTACAACCAATGACTTTTCAACCAATGGTTCTACAACTAATGATTCTTCTTCTATTGGAACCAATGATACCTCAACCACTGATTCTATAACCAATGACTCTTTAACCATCGGTTTTTCAACAAATGATTCTTCCTCCGACGTATTATACAAATTATGATAATATTCATCATGAATCCTCCAATAAATTTCATTTAGAACAAACTGTTTTTCAGAATAATCATATACGAATGGAAAGATTCTAAAATCATCCGGAGCTCGAACAAAATACTCACTATAAGGGCAATCAGGGTTTTCATGATAAAGATAATAACAAGAACAATGGCCAGATGCAAGACGTGACAATAAATCATCCATCTCCAAGGCATGTATATCATCAACTCATAAGATAAAAAGAAGTTAATAATAGCCAAAGCAACAAACCAAAAGCTTAGCAAAAAAAACGAATCACAAATAATTAGATGAAAACCGTTAGTCCCCGGCAACGGCGCCAAAATTTGATAGGCTTATCGCGTACCTAACAAAAATAACCTAACTATTCCTTCTAACTGTGTAGTAGGGCAAGTAAGGATCGAATCCCAAGAGACTATGGTTCATTCAATTAATCAGACTCAATTAATCACTAAGCACGTGACCAATCAATAATGGATGATAATAATCAACTAATTTATTAAATAACACAATTAACTAGAGGAAATATTAATCAATAAACTAAAGCATCCAAGATCAAGCATCACCACGATTATGATTGATAAACTAATAAATCTACCCCCAATATATAAATCAATTGACAAGAAGAAAAGCAATCCCTAATAATAATACCAAAGGTCTCTTCCGAGTTATCAATGGCTTCCCAAATTAACTATCAAGCCTACTTCCGTGGAATCAAGCGAATAAGGGACATTAAACACCATGCCTAGATTCCTAATTATTCAATCATCTACTTCCGTGATGATCTTCAAACCCTTAATTGAAATAACCTAATCCCGTTAATACCCAACTTCCGTTGCAATAAGAACAAAGGGATGATAACAATACTAATTATCCCTAATCTAGTATTGGCATAAACACAATCAATTAAGCATGTCAATTGGGATTATTATTGGGGAATTTAAAGATCTACTTTATACATCAATCATAATCGGGCTTAGCAAGATCTCGGATTAAGGAAACTACTCACACATCATAATAAAATCAAAATCAAGATCTAATAGAGAACACATAATTAAAGAACTATAAAATAAATAAAAGAGATGGAAAGTAAGAAATACCAAATACTTCAATTGATGATCTTGAATTCTTGAGGAACAATTAATAAAACTAGGATTAAAGATTGAAATTGCTTAAGAAAATAAAACTAGGGTTCTTGAGAGTTTTCTAGGGCTTAAGGAGAAAACTAATGAAAAACTAACTGTCTAAAAGTTAATTACAAAAGGGTATTTATACCCCCAAAAGATAATATTTCGGAAAAAATAAGAAAATACGCGTTCTTGAGCTTTGCCCGGTCTGACCGGGCGGACCTCGCCCGATCGGGCGGAGGAAGGCTGCGTAAAATACGACAGTTTTCCTTCTTTGCCCGGTCTGACCGGGCGAACCTCGCCCGGTCGGGCGCGCGTAACACGTTTCCAAAATTGCATCTCATAACTTGATTTCTTCATCGCCCGGTCTGACCGGGCGAAGCCTGCCCGATCGGGCATTCCACATAAATTTCAGTTCTTGGCTATCAACTCTTCCGAATCTACTAAAAACACGTCCAATTGCCTAGAAACGCTTCATATTCCTGAAAAGCTTACTAAAACAATCGAATACACTAAAGAAGAGATTGTTAGCAAGAAATAGCTCCGTAGAGCTCAAAACCATGTAAAATCATGCAATCAAACCGGGGAAAACCATTGTATAAAACACGTATATCACCAGGTTGCTCTTCACCTTTCTCCCTCTTTCTATTCCTACTTGGTCTTTCAATTCCCCTCTTCATCTTAGGAGGCATGATGATTGTACCTGACTCATCTGCAGGCCATTGTTGTGTGTCAGGAATTGGGTTAATGCAGACACTATAAGCTTGCCTATAAGTCTTCACAAAATACCAGGAACTGACAAAGTCATGTGGGTCAAGCTTTGCATCAATGCAGGCCCTAATGGCATGCCTACATGGCACACCTGTCAGTTACATGCCCCACAGGAACAAATCTTCTTGTTTAAGCTCAGAGGAAACTATGATCTTCCTTCATGAATTTCATATTCTCCTGGACTAGACTTGAAAGCTCTACATTTTGAGGTATTTTTACCTATTTCTTTCACTAGCTTCACAATTTTAGGAGTAATGTCTTCATCTTTCCAAGACCTTGCATTCTCCATCCTTGTTGCAATTCTCACCATACAAACCCTTCTTATTCCTGCATTCATTATCATAATTAGATATCTTACCAAACCAGTTTGAAATAACAATGATATCATAGCATGTGAACAATTAATACCTTCTAGCAAAGTCAAAATAGGCCTACACCTATTCACCCCAAGTGTAGAGTTGAAGCTCTCTACAAAATTAGAGGTATTGGAGTCATTGCAAACATTTGGGTCAAATGCATGCTTACTCCATTTAGATTGCTCTCCCAAGTCTGCAAACCAAGACATGACATCATCACCTCCTACTTTCTGCAACTTTTCCATAGCTTTCCTAAATGTGAAAACTGAAAATGCATTGCAAGATCTCCAAAAGAGAACATACATCATAGGGCCTGGAAAAAGTTTCTTGAAGTTTCTACTGAGATGCCTACAGTAAAACCTCCTATCAGCTTTAGGCCAGACTTGTTCTAATGCAAGTTCAACTCCCTGATACAATGTGTACACAATAAGCATGTTTAGGGATAGACTCATATCATAGCAAAACAATCAAAAAATTGAAACACAAAGAGGAAAGTACTTGCCTTTTGCCTATCAGAAATAATGGTCCAATGCTCCCTTGATGAGTCTTTCACAATGTTCAACAAATGCCAAAAGAAGTATGTCCATGATTGCTTGTCTTCTTGGCCAACTACAACATATGCAATGGGGAAGATCTCATTATTTCCATCTATTCCCACAGCAGAGAGCAATACCCCCCCATAGTTACCTTTGAGATGGGTCCCATCTACACCAATTAAAGGCCTAACACCTCTAAACAGACCTTTCCATTGTCCAGTGAAGGAGATAAAGATGCTTGTAAATTGCAGTTGTTTAGGGATAGACTCAGTTTCATTCAATGCACAAAAAGCTTTTGACTCTAGGTTTGTTTCTATGCACATCTTAGCATATTGTGGCAGCAGTCCATATGACTCATCATGTCCTCCAAACAACTGCTCAATTACATAGCTCTTTAACCTTTACAAGGTTGACTACCTCATGTAGATGCCATATCTCTGAAAAAGAAGTTCATTAAGTGCTTTCCCAAGAATGTCTGGGTTAGCCCTGATGTCTTCCATGACTTTTTGTGATGCCCATTTTACATTGCATATGGGGTTGTAAGTCTCTAAGCCCCTGCAAGTGTGTACATTAGGCCATATTTTCTTGATTGCCCAAGTTCTGCCATCTGACAGTCTACTGGCATGCAATCTCCAATCACAGCATTCAGATTGGCAAACTACACTGTACCTTTTGTTGTCAGCATACTCTACATTGATGGCAAATCTTTCTTGAACAACAAAATCCTTCAAAGTGTCCTTAAAGTGAGCTTTGTCAGTAAAAATCATCCTAGGAGATGGTGGTTGCATTGGGGTTGTTTCGGTGGTACTACTCTTTTTATTCTTTGTAGCCTTAACCTTATTAGACTTTTGTATCCTATCCATAGATTTCTCAAACTCTATTCTACCCTTGGTATACTCAGAAGCAGATTGAGGATTATTTGTTTCTTCTTGGGGTGAATCATAACCCTCATTATACCTAGGTGGAGAGGACTCATTATTTAGGATTATCTCATCAATAGAAGGTTGTTTATCAATTTGGGAAGTGTAGACACCTAAAAATGCCTCCCTAAAACCAAACTCGATGATGAACAACCTTTCACCGCCATTATTGGTCGGGTTGAGTATTTATTCTTGAAGTGCTTAAATCCATATTTTTATTTCATAAAACCAACCCAATTTCTAGCCCATTTCCCCAAACCATAACTTATTTTCCTCTTTTCGTGCCTAAAACCCAAAATAATTCATTTCGTATCCTTTAAAATCATTCATTTCGTGTCCTTTTTATAAAACGTTTAATCCATTTTATTTTTGTCCATAATCTGAGTCCAATGATTTAATAGTTGGATGGGGATTTAAAAGAGCTTTCCAACGATATATTATAAGCCCAAATCCAAGTTATAACGAATAAGTTATGGCCAAAATATTAAACTGAGCCCAAACCGAACCTAAGCCCACCTTACCTACGACCCAATGATCATGTGGAGGGTCCAAATTATTTAATCCCATTCCTAAACCAATTAGGATAAATTAAAAACTTCTATAAGTTTCTAAAATATCTTAATTATTCCTTTTTGAAAAGATAAGATTAAAGAGTTTGAAATTGAATAAAACTCCTTTTTTTTAAAGTCCTAATTTTATTCGAATTGAAATACGTTCAAAGATAGACAGATATTATTTTCTTGCCTCATATTTTTTTATCCAAATTTCATATGTTTGCATATCCCTTGAAATTATCTTTCCAATGATATATTATAATATCAATTCCGAGCTATAACGGAAATGATATGAATAAAATGTCAAACTCTATCCAAAACTGACACCGTCTCACTATTTCGTTCATATCTTTTATTCTATAAAATATTTTAATCTGATTCAAATTGGGTTAGAAAGTAGACTTCAAGATCTTTCCAATGATATTTTATTCATCTTATTCCAATCTCTGGATCAAAAGATATGATAAAAACAAAAACCGCAAAAACTGCTGTCTATCGCAAGAGTTTTATACGATTCGAATTCTTATCTTTTCTTGATTCTTCGACCTTCTTTTTTCTCTATAAATATAGATCATATCTCCCCTTTTCCAATCATCACAAGCTTGATGATCAAATCCTTCTCTCTTTCTCTCTTTGACACCAAAAATCATTCTTCTTCTCTCTCTCTCTCATATTCTAAGCCTTAAACCTATATTCCTAATTACACCATTCTTCCCCTAAACACTCCAAGGAGTCCATACTTTAAAAAGGTAGAATTAACTGAGGGTTTGAACCAAATAAAATCTATATTTATTTAATTATTTTAATTAGATTTATATTTTAATTAAAGTTACTAACAATTTATTCATGATGTAGCAATTTAAAGGAACGCGCGGAATGTAAGTAATTAATTAATTTAATTACCCTTATTTTATTTTCTTATTTCTAGTATCATGATTAGGGTTATTTTATATTTGATTTGACTAATGATATTATTGTTAAATTGCTTCCTATATTAATGTTTATTCTATTATTTTTTATGATCACCATATTGCATGTTTATAGGGAATATGTAATTGAAAATCATGACTAATAAGATAATTTGGACAACCGATTTAGGTTCCTTTTAATCTTGTTGCTTAATTCAAGTGATCACAAATATTTTAGAATTATATGTTGCATTAATATTCAACCAATTTAGCCTAATAATAGTTTGGAGCAAATTGAATATTTTGTTTGTATGCCTTTGAGATCGCAGGAATCATATTTCACTATAAGAATCGAGTAGAGGCCAATACGGGCGAATGTGACTCCATGACTCACTTCGTACCATCATCCCTGATCCTCCTTTCGTGGTTCCGAACTATATGGAGTTAGTAATCTCATGGATTATGAATGGGGTGTAACCTTCACGGGTCAATCGTTGTTGCCTTCGTTGTCCCTTTATCGTGGTTGCCTTTTATGATCCGTGAACGGTTTACAAGTTCCTTAAAAACTTGTTGGCGGCTCCCTACTTTCCTTGTCCCTTATCGTATATATCAATTCCCACTTCCTATGAGTTCCAAGCATATTCACACATGCTTTTACGTAGGCGCACTTCGAACAATGACTACAGGAAGGGTCAAATTGGAATGGTTCTGTTTGGGTTGTTTCATTTTGAGTGGGTTGATCTGTTTGGAGTGTTTCATTCTGAGGGGGTGGATCAGTTGGTGGTACAGTTTGGGAAGGTTCATCATTATGGGGTAGTACAGTTTGGGAAGGTGCAACAATTGGTTGTGTAGATTTGGATTTGTTCCTTAACTTGTTGATCATTCTATTCAAGGCACTTGGTTTCTTGGCAAACCCAACCCAAATGTGATGCATCTCACAATCACCTAGGGTATGAATCATCTTTAAAAAATCAGCATCATCTAGTAAAGGGTGATTCTTTTCATTGTGACCATAACCAAAGGTAGGGTTGATTAAAGGATACTCAGTGTCTAATGCAGCAGTGTCCTCAAAATCCATAATCAAGTCCATCAAATTACATCTATCTAATTCAACATCAATATCAACATGTTTATCCCAGTAATGAAACCTTATCACAACATCACCCATTCTGCAAAATAAGGTAAACAATGCACACACTTACAACATGCAAATTAATTCCAATTCAATTATCCAACAATCAATCAAACATGATCATGGCATTTCATTCAGTTTAATTCCATATTCTAAACCAATAATTGAACAAACATAAGCCCTCACCTAACATACATGAAAGAACCCTAAAATCGCACAAATATACATCATTAAAATCATGAATTAAACCTAAAATCGCATAGAAAAATAGAACATCAAACAAATGCACCAAATCATGCATAAATGAACAGTAGTAGTGCTAAAGTACCTGAATTATGCAAGATTTCCCTCTAATGGCTTTGTAGACCAACGAAATTAGCAAATTTTCCCTTGCAAACCCTTTGTGAATTCAACAGAGAGCTGATAAGTCCTATTTTGCACATGTTTTAGGTGGGTATCTAAGCTCATTTTATTACAAAATTAGAGATCTTTGGTGCATATTTGCATTATTTGCTTAAGTTGTGCTCTACTACTCTTCGTTTGTGTGTTTTGATGAATTTCAGGTGATTTATATGCAAATGGAGTATGGTTGGCTAATATTGAGTATAATAATCATGGAGTATGAAAACATATTGCTTAAGAATATCAAATCATGTGTTCGAGACGAACTTGAGTGAAAATGAAGCAAAACGTTGATGAAATACTTGACAAATATGACACCTGTTCACTATTATGCTCATAACTTTTGATATACAAATGATAATGGAGTGATTCAAATTGCATTGGAAAGTAGACTTGAAGACCTTTCCAACGATATATTACAAGCCTCAAACAGAGCTCCGGATATGAAGTTATGACTGATTTAAGATGAGTTAAATACAAACTATTTGCTGCAGCCTCTACGTGCCCGATCGGGCATGGTCCGCCCGGTTGGACCGGGCACATAGGAGTTAGATGATTTTTGGTATTTTTCGAAGGTAGAAAGCAATTTATGAAGACCGCCCCACGCGCCCGATCGGGCAAGGTCAGCCCGGTTGGACCGGGCACGTGGTGGAAGAAGTGCTACGAAGGAAAGCAACTCCGTACTCTCACCGCCCGATCGGGAGGTGCTTGCCCGGTTGGACCGGGCACAGTTATGCGACACTCCGTATTATTATTTTCTTATTTTTAGGTCATTAAGGGTATAAATACCCCTTGTAATCTTCATTAGAAAGAAGTTTTAAGTTTTCCATTATTCCTCTTTCTCTCTCTAGAGTTCTAGTTTATTACTTTGAAGCAATTTTAATTCTTTCCATTAGATTTGAGCATTGTTTTTCAACAATTTAATTCCTTTCAATTGAAGAATCCTTGGTATTCACTTCTACTTCATTCTCTTTCAATTATAATTGCTTTTCAATTATGTTTTCCATATTCATGATTGTTATTGTTTCTTTCAATATGTGTGAGTAGATTTTCTATTCCAAGATCTAGGGTAGCCCAATTATGATTGATGCATGAATTAAAACTTTAAATTCCCCAATAATAATCCCAATTGACATGCTTAATTGATTGTGTTTATGCCAATACTAGATTAGGAATAATTAGTATTGTTATCATCCCTTTGTTCTTATTGCAACGGAAGTTGGGTATTAACGGGATTAGGTTATTCCAATTAAGGGTTTGAAGATCATCACGGAAGTAGATGATTGAATAATTAGGAATCTAGGCATGGTGTTTAATGTCCCTTATTCGCTTGATTCCACGGAAGTAGGCTTGATAGTTAATTTGGGAAGCCATTGATAACTTGGAAGAGACCTTTGGTATTATTATTAGGGATTGCTTTTCTTCTTGTCAATTGATTTATATATTGGGGGTAGATTTATTAGTTTATCAATCATAATCGTGGTAATGCTTGATCTTGGATGCTTTAGTTTATTGATTAATATTTCCTCTAGTTAATTGTGTTATTTAATATATTAGTTGATTATTATCATCTATTATTGATTGGTGACGTGCTTAGTGATTAATTGAGTCTGATTAATTGAATGAACCATAGTCTCTTGGGATTCGATCCTTACTTGCCCTACTACACAGTTAGAAGGAATAGTTAGGTTATTTTTGTTAGGTACGCGATAAGCCTATCAAGAGCATAGGAGAGAGAGATGAAATTTGAAAGTGAGTTTGGTTTATGTCAAATCGACATAAATGGAAGGGGAAGAGGGTTTTGATCGTTGGAGGGAAGGGTTTAAAAGGGGGTAAATTAGTCTTTTTTCTTTTTTTTTACCAAATTATATTTTAACCTAGATTTACTAACTTATTAACGTCTGATTAACAGACTTAATCACGTGAGTTAGTAAGTCATAAACTTGGGTGTATCATTAGGAAGTAAAAAAAAAATGTGGTACCGCTGGGAAAAGTCAAAACCTGGAGTGTATCAATGGGAATTTCCCAAAATAAATCAGACAAAGGTTGGATTAATTACATCAAATTTTCCTTTTCATAAGGAAAAATTTGCAAATTGCAACCATTTAAAGTTCGTATTTTGCAAATTGCAGCCATTTAAAATTTCTTTTGCAAATTGCAGCCCAAAAGTTCGTATAAATTGTAAATTGCAGCCCGATTCAAATTTTTCATCGGTTTACATGTTCAAAAATGTTCGGTTAAGGTTTTAGGGGTCATTTTAGATCTTAGGGGAACAAATTGAGCTCGGAATTAACAAAAAAATAACGTAAGTATCTCATATTTACAGTTTTCCACAAATTGATACATTTTGTTACGCAAAACGAGATACTTGCATTTTTTTTTGCTAATTCCGAGCTCAATTCGAAACCCTAATGGCCCCTAAAACCTTAACAAAGATTTTTCAACTTGTAAACCGATGAAAAAGTTAAATCAAGCTGCAATTTACAATTTATATGAACTTTTGGGCTGCAATTTGCAATTTTTTTTTTGAATAGCTGCAATTTGCAAAATACGAATTTTAAATAGCTGCAATTTGCAAATTTTCCTTTTTATAATGATGTTAACATTGAACTTTCTTTTTGCACTTACCAATGTAAAACTTTGAACATCCATATCTATAACTGTTACCATAAACAAAAAGGCACTTTCCAAGTAAAGTTGTCCTAAATTGAAAGGATAACCACAGTAAAGATAGCAGCCAACACCACATAATCTGCTAGTCACACCTAATAGAAGACACCAGATTGGCAAATATACAGGTAAACCCTCAGAATAATTACAATTTTTCGACAAACATAGGGTTTTAAGCCAGTAATAAAGGATTCCTGAAAAAGGAAGATATGGAAAACTAAAGAGAAGACAGAGCTGTAAGTTCAGAAATTATATTTGTAACACTTTGGACTGCTAAAGCAGAAATTAGACTATCCCAAAGATCCTACAATTTCTAAGGAAAAAAAAAAAGAAGAAATAAATCTAAAAATGAAAAAGGTAAAATCTTTTCACCCCAGCCTACTGTAAATCGAACCTGGGGGGTTTACTGTTATGTGCCGTTCAATGTCACAGCACGGTGAGCTGATCGCGATGACCCATTCAATGCCTCATGAATCCTACTGAAAACTATCTTCAAGGGAACACAAGCAAGTGTTGGACCCTTGGAACTCTGAACCATCGGCTTCCTTTTCCCTAGGTTTAGCTTTAAAGGACTAGTTAGCGAAGACAGCCTCCTTGTCTTCTTTGATGAAGAGCCATACCTCTTTTTTGACTTGGACTTGGAAGATTTACCCTTGCGTTTACGACGAGAGCTATGGGATCGGAGTTTGATGTGCTTAGGTTTACGCACTTGTGCCTCAACTACATAATCCATTTCTGTATCTTCATCGTCCAACTCACAGCTTCCACTTGCAGGGTAATTTGAGGTCTGAAGATCACAAAACCCATCTTCCAAGGCTTCAACTGCAACTGGATGACCTGTGATAGGTTTACAGCTCAATTTGCTCATAAGGGAGATATATGGAACATGTTGTGTCTGAGGCCTGGTAGCTTCCACTGTTACTTCAACCTCGAACAGTGATAAACCACCAGGTGACTCCCAGCTGGACGGAAAGAATCGGCGTTGACGATACGAGAATGATCTATCGGAAGGACCAGACACAGAAATGTGTTTCCTCAGACCTGTGAGCCCATTCATAAAGCCATTTGAACTTGGGGGGAAGTGGACCGGAGCCTCAAGACCCATGCCATAAGCATCCGACTTCTTTTGGGAACTCATTTCGTCGTTTTTGCACAAAAATCTTGCCTTCCTCTTTCCTTTTGACTGCCATTTGGAAGCACCATGTTCATCGGCTGCCTCATGCTCTAAAGACGAGGTTTGAACAGTTAAATTGCGACTGCATATCCCTTTGAAAGCACTAACACGAGGTTTCAAGGGGGAAGAGGGTCGCCAGACTGGAGAGATACCTGATAAAGATAACCACAAAATACTTCATTAATCTCAGCAAACATACTTATAGATGAACATTAATGAGTGATAGAAAAGCATCCAAAGAAGCAACACACCGAATATCCTATAAGGCTGACTAGTTCTAAACATATATTTCAAGTTTGCACACCAAATCAATTAACAGCATGCTTGGCCAGAACAATAGAAAGCAACAGAACATTGATTGGGAGTTGGGCATAAAAAGAATGAATTCTAATTCAGGGGAAAATTGTAAACCAGCAATAACTGACATGTTGAACATTAATAGTATAATGTAATTGTAGATATAGACAGACTGCAGACATACCAGATTGGGGTACTTCTTCATCAATAAATGGGGCATCAAAAAGTGTGTCTGGAGAATCAACCTCAGGAAGGTGCTCGTTCAACAGATCAGTATCCTTGATACCATCTTTACTATCATAAAAAGGTGATATAGCATCAGATCTCTCAAAAGGATTTGCAAACTCATCACAAATTATTCGAACAGGAACCATTGTTGTATTCTCCAAAACCTTAGTTAATGGCCGCCGACGATTTTTCCTTTTCAATAACTCATGAATATGTACCACTTGTGATCTCTTTTTCTTAAAAGTTGGCACAGCACCTCCATTTGTTAGAGTTCCTACTGCTGTACAATTAGCAGAACGAGTATTATGTAGTGATACACTACTTGATTGACCCGGATTAGACAACGCCAACACTCGAATTTTTCGCTCTGAGCCTACACCCAGGTCATTGAGTCCTTTCATACGCTTAAACCCTTCATGACCATCATCTTCTGAATCATTTGGGGTCTTCCTCCTCTTTCTTTTATGTTGCTGCCCCTGCAGGCAGGTGGACCCATTAGTCTCATATGATATACCAGAGTGAGACAACTCCTGCGTAGAATTTGAATTCTCTTCACATGCAATTGTTTCCTCTGAACTTGTTTCTTCAGAAGAACATTCACTTCCTTTGTTAGCATGAGACCTGGATGCAGAGCCATTTTCGCAATTGACCGGTGCTTCATTGTCTGGACTACGATCATGGTTTGAATCAATTTTTAATAGGCTGGATTTTTCAATTTCAAGAGCGTAAAAAATAGCAATTTCTCTTCGAGGATATTTCAATGATCTCTTTAAAAACTTAGGCGCAGAGACCTTTGCTTTCTCAATGCAGGTGTCATATTCTCCACAACGAAATGCCTTGACCCCTTTAGCTGTCTCAAGATCATACCATTCCCTGAAAAAAAACAGAAGACATAAAACTCACTTAAAAATTCGATCCGGAAGGCTCAAAGATCGGTGTCCTAAAAAATTTAGTTTGAAACACGCAAGGAAAACAATCTTCATAGAAACAGCACAGAAGTCCAATAAATGATAAAAGCCTAAACAACCTAAAGATAGCTGCTAGCCAACACAAAAGACCATACATTCATCTAGAGCAAATACATTACAAGATTCTGCTATTCGGGCAACCCAAACTTAATTTAAAAAAAAAAATAATTAAAGACCCTAGTACCCAACAGAAACTTTCCAGAGAAAGAAACACAAGATAGCATCTGTAATCCAAATTCCAAAATCTGCAAGTTTGCAATAATAAAATTAAAAAAAAAAAAAAAGATTCCTGCAAGCTGATGCCAAAGAGTTACATTGAGGTCTTATTCCCACAACAGAGTGATATATTACCAAATAAATGAGCAACCATACCACATTGATCAGCTTTCTCCCTTAATCCTCTAATACATTACTACATAGCCTTAAATAAGGCTCAGCGAGAACAATGTGTCATTCAAGTAACCTAAAGCCCTTCAGAACATAGAATCTAACCATCACCAAATAATATTGTTTGCACCATGTCCATGTCATTTGTAACCCCCCCCCCTCTCTCTCTCTCTTCTCTCCCAACCGCCTTTCTTTTCTATTATCTATCCAGCATTGCAGTTATTAAAAGACCTTGACTCTACCCTTTATGATGTGAAGAAACCAATCTGTCCCCTGTTTTGTTCCATTACTTGTAATTAGATTCATTGAGGGGCTTTAATCATTTTTATCTATCTTCGTTTCTTCCTACATTAAGAGACCAGACACTTCAATGCTCAGCCAAACACTTCAAATCTTCAATTATCATCAGTGGCGTATCCAGAATTTAATTTCAGGATATGCACAATTATATCTCCATAAACAATAATCCAAACCCGATTTCATTATTCTATACTCCATATATATTAATTAACCATAGCTACTTCCTTATAAAATTGCATTACGTCTTTTTTCCCTCATTAAATAATTTAATGGGAAAACAACAATTGTCCATATTTATTCTTAATAAAAATAAATAAATTTACAAAAAACAGGAAGAGCAGACATAGGCGTAGAAACACGTTGAAGAACGAAATAGAAATGGTTGGAAAAGATTGACTAACAATATCATAAATAAATAGGGAATAAATAAAATGCGTCAACTAGATTAGAACTCAAGATTACAAAGAACTAGCAATCACTCTTAAGACAGTAATTTACCAGCATGCTGCACTCACTTATTTACTCAAATTTCCCTTCAACTTGATTTTATTTCAGCACCTAGTGTATGCAAGTGCCATAGTCTTGGTGTTAATTGTATCCGCCCATGATTATCATGAACCACACATGGTAGGAAATAAAAAATAAGTTGAAAAGAAGAGTATGTGGGATGACTTCAGAAATGGGCTTGAGAAAAGTTTTTAACAAGAATAAAAAATCAAGTTAGCGTGATGTATATGTATGCATGTGTAAACATTAGAGCTCATGCAATAAGTCTTCTATAAAAAATTTACAAACATATGCCCTGTCCCCGCACCATCTTGCCCAATGTCCCGACGTTCATGCCCATGTCTAAATAACTTAGTCCATTAGATTAATCCAACATATTCAAACTTGCAACAAAAACTATGATTAGTTTTTGAAAGTCGAGCAGTAAACACACAGCTAAATACCTTTAGAAGTCAAGTAACCTATTATGTTAAGTTTCATTACCGGCATAAAGGAGGTTAACACATAATTCTCAAGAGATAAATGCTCTGACAAATCATCATTTACTACAGGGACTGAAAAAGGAAAATAAAAAAAAGAACCAGGCAGTGAGAATCTTGCTGGGATCGGTAACAAAGGGAAATCAACGTGTATTTGCTACTGAACTACTAAAGTTAAGTGCATAGGTTTTGATATCCCTATAAAAAAAAAATTCACAGAAAGTTCAGTCGTTGGCCTTGTGGCCATACATAGACCATCAAATATGAAATGGCTGGACTCCACAAAACTCAATAAGAAGGATAAATACTTGCACAGAATAAAAGTCAATGGCAAAAAGAAAGGTTTATCTAGCACCCATTATCCTTTCACTCTTAATCAATGCATAAGACTAAGACCCCATTGTGGTTGCTATACGATACAAAACACACAGCATTTTGGTATATTCATTAGACTTTCAGTTAAAGAATCACCAGTAGAAAAGACTTCAAAACCTTAAAGTAGAACTTCGCACCAAAAATCTTCACTACGCCTCAATGTCAAAGAGTCACAATGTATTATAAGAGTAAGAAACATGCTACTTTAACACATAAAATATTTGTAAAAACAATCATTATCCATCCCTATTCTTTCCCTCACAATGCCTAATGGGTTCCACCTACAAAATGCTATGTCTATTATCTTCGGTAAAGGGGAAAAACCAATAGACAAACTAATAGAAATAAAGATAATAATAGCTTCAATACAGGCCACGTTATGATGTATTATCTGAACTACCCTGTGCACTTTCAACGATTATACAATTAAAATAGTTCAACCACAGTATCCATGATGAAACATGATATCTACGATAAGCTAACCCTAACCCACAATTTGGTCATTGATCTCAGCGTTTTTAATGCTGTTCTGTCTTTTTCCCTTGAGCGGTCTAGCGAATTTTCTAGAGCCAACATAAACTTTAAAGCTCAATGCACAAAAGGACATAGTAAAGAAAGATTAATCTATGGCCAACAGTAAGGTCACTTCTTTCAGGCTTTCCATGCAAAACAGCTTCAAGAAACATCAAACAATCCCAAAATGTAAGACAAACGTACACATTTCAACAACAAGCGGCAAAGAACATATACAACAAATGCTTGCATTCAAACCTATGACCACAAATCCACAATGGAGCAACACAAACTAAACATTGGAAAATCAACAAACTAATAATTACAGTGCTGGAAAAACAGGCTAAACATTCAAAACAAATATAACAAAAAAAAAAAAAGTAAAATGTAAATGAGGGGACTCACACACTTGAGTCATCTCGACCCAATAGCCTGATGGGTGTCCCGGATCTTGGCGAACCCGAACCCGAACCGTTCTCCGGCAACTCATCCAGACCCATAATCTGACCCGGCCACCAGCACCCATTTCGCCTTTGAACCCAAACTAATGCTCCAACTGTTGTATCTAATCCCTTTTTCCTGCCTTCTTCCACATTTGAGCCACCATTACCCACCATTTCTCAAACCCCCTCCACAACTCTAGTATCAAGAACACCCCGATAAAAAATCAAAATTAAAATTAAAATAAAAACACTGAAAAACAATTTTTAAAGGAAAAAACTACGACTTTGACATAAATTTCAAAGCCCCTGCTCAAACAAGAACGCTTTCTACAAACTCAAACAAATTCCAGATTGAAACCATTACCTATAACATCAAAAAGAAAAATCAAAATAAAAAAAAAAAATAGAAAAATGGATAAATTCCTAGCATGCGGCAAAAAATCAAAAAAAAAATTACAAAAAATAATAGACAACAAAAAATGATTAAAACAAGAAGAAAATACAAAAACCCCAAAAAAATAAAAGAAAAATAGAAAAACCCTTTACTAAGAACTACAGCAAGATTCTGTGGAGGATCTGAGAAAGAAAGAAAAACCCCAAATTTACAACGAAAATAAACAGATGGGGTTCACAAAAAGGAACGTTTTTTTAATTAAATTTATATTTTTTTCTTATTAATTTGTTTTTCTTCTAATTTACTTGAACTTCAGAATAAACTGAGAAAAACCCAGATTGAGATTTGATGATGTCGGTTTTTTTTTATTTTGTTTTGCTTACTCATAGTGAAGAGGGTTTTTGTCAAAAACCCCCCACCTTTGTTTTGTGAAGTTTACCGATATTATTAAGTTTTTTTTTTTGTTTTTTTTTTTTGTTTTTTTTTTTCTTTTGAGAAGGAAAAAGTTTAGGCAAATGTTTTTGTATTAGATTGAACGTACCTCCTTTTATTCAACAACCAACGTTATTATATGATATAAAAATCATATAATATATGATGAAGAATTGATGATGGTTATGTATCTTCCAAACCTTGCCACAAGAGAGAGAGAGTTGAGGGGTGGAGAGAAAAAAGAGACTTTTTTTTTTTGTTTTGAATTTTTTTTTTCTTTGGGATTAAAGGGAAGTGTTTAGAGAAAATAAAATAAGTTTAGGAGAGGTTGATTATGGAGGAGTTTATATCTTAACACATGTCACTCATGCATTATTGGTCTTGTGTGGGGCCCATTTAAAGATTACAGTCAATGATATTTCAAGCTGGATCCCTCCTCAAAATGAGGTTGTCATATGAATAAATGTTAGCTGAGGTGGTAACTGATAATTGTTATGCTAGTTGTATGTTTATAGCTATTTATTTTTAAAAAGTTATGGAATAGATGACACATAGTTTTGGTAAGTATGTTGTGTTATAAAGTAGGTTTAAGAGGCAAAAATATAAAGCAACCAAGTACATAGAGTTTCTGAAAACGACTAAGCTACATCACTGTAAATTTTAGGGGAGAATAAAGTTCATCAATAGTTCACTAATTGATAATTTGATGGTACAATAACTGTTTTAAATACAAACTTGGCCGGTAACTACCAACGGTAGCTGATATTTTACCTTTACCATTTAATGCAAGAATCAATATGACATGCAATACTACATATACTACGTGAACACAATATGTGGGCATAATAATCGAACTTTACACCTTTATTGTCTTTCAATGCATTGTTGTTTGCATAGATCATTAATGATTTTTTTATTTGCGTGTATGTGAATCTCCCTATATATTTGATATATATGGTTAACCGCTCATATTTGCTCAAATTTATATTAGAGTCTTCAATTCTTATGTTATTTACATATTATTTACTATATAAAATTTAAAGTTTCACTTGGAGTACATTACATGTTAGATATAATTTCTCGATATTGATTTTATTAATCCATTATGTCATGAACTTTTTTTTTGTTGATTCAATAAAGATAACAGAGCAAAGCACAATTAAGAACTATATGGCAATAGTATATTAAAAAAATATCAATGAAGATGAACGATGACAGTGATTAAACATACATTAATTGAAAACATGACTCTTAATATTTGTATAAAGTACTAATAACACCAAAATAACCTTTAAAATCTCCTATCATAGGTAGGTGCTGGTTAATGGAGTGGTTTTATATTATGATCCATAATTTCATATATGTTACATCTCTAATAATTTGTATTATAGAATACCTATTCAAGGCAAGTTTTTATTTAATCAAGCTTTTCATCACCAATAGCGTTAATAATACCAATAGGAATTTGTAACCAATGTTTTCTTGATTACATCTCTATATATTATGTTTATTACTAAAGATATTGTCATATGTATCAACATCATTAAGAAAAAAAGGTTACATGTGTTCAGAGTAAACATACCCCTTAACATGGACTAATTAGAAGGTAGCAAGTAGCCAAGTAATATTCTAACATGTGGCATTTATCTCAGTCCAAAGTTTAGAGCATGACACGTGCCACCCAATAAATCACATAATAATGAAATACTCAAAAGCCCATGAAAACGTACCTCGAAAATGATGACAACCCTAGTTCGTGACACTCACGTACATATTGGGAAGTCAATCAGAAATGCACCTTTTAACCCACGGAGCACATAATATTTTTATCATTATTAATGGGACATGTTACATTTATTGAAAACAACGAGGCACTGCCCACGAAATGTACTAACATCTACGTAATTTATCTCTTTATAAAATAATTACACCAATGACTAAATTAATCAGTGGAATCAGTATTTTAGTCATCGGGTATTCATTGTTTTGCAGGTGATTGTACGTGAGCTTACGACATGACTTTCGTAATCTCCCACGAGATCGCAAAAAATCTAAAACCAACTTGCATAGTATTTTTTCCTTAGATTTTGTATATCATATCACTCGAATATAATATTAGTAACAAAATGTTATGCTTTATGTAAATCATAAATATATTTTTTTTACTATATATGGAAAATAAAATACTCCCTCCGTTACGAATTACTCGCAACAATTACTAAAAATGGCTGGTACACATTACTTGCAACAAACTTATTTATTTCTTTTTATGGTAAGTTTTTTTGTGTGATATTACAAACATTACCCTTACTTTTTTTCCTAAACATCCTAATTAAACTATTGATTTATCTTATTAACTTAAACCCTAACATTGATTTAATCACCTCCCATATAAATTCATCATCACCACCACCACCACCACCATCACCTTCATTTGCAACAACCACCACCACCACCGATCGCTCGTAACAAAGAAAATAACCGCCGTCGTCTTCTTCCCTATCGACACCTTTGTTTTCTCTCTCTTCCTTTTCTAGATCTGACTTTTTTCTGAGTTCGTTGTGCATTTGGTGGGTTGAATTTCTGGATTTGGCGCTTGGTGGGTCGAATTTCAGGGTTTGGTGCTTGGTGGGTCGAATTTATGGTTTCGAATTTCAGGTTTTGGTGGTGCTAGGTTTGAATTTCGTGGGTGGTTTTGTGGGTTCGAATTTCTGGGTTTGAATTCGTGGGTGGTCTCGTGGTGGTGGGTTTCGGGGTTGTGGGTCTAGGTTCGTGGGTTATGGGTTTCGGGGTGGGTGGTGGTGGGTTGTAGTGGGTTCGGCGGTTGTGGGTCTGGGTTCGTGGTGGTGGGTTTCGGGGTTGTGGCTCTAGGTTCGTGGGTTGTTGGTTTTGGGGTGGGTGGTGGTGGGTTGTAGTGGGTTCGGCGGCTTCGCAAAGGGTTCGCAGGTGGTGGTGGTGCTGGGTTTTGTTGGTGGCGCGCGGACTGGTGGTGTTTTCGTGGTTGTGGTTTTGCTAGGTGGTGGTGGTTTTGTGGTTGTGGTGCTGGGTGTTTAGGTTTTTTTTTTTTTTTTTTATTGGATTAATACTAAGCACATCCCTTATTGTTCAATAATCACAATTAAGATATTTCACCTAGGAGTCCGCTATTCCTCCCTTTGTTGCGAGTAACTCGTAACGGAGGGAGTATAACATAAAAATAACTATTTTATACATTTTAAGTTTTTCATTTTTAAGTTTCATCACTTTTCAAAAAAAAAAAAAAAGTTTCATCCTTTTTTTTTTTTTGTGATATTCTCTCATCAAGTGCTCTACATGAATGTATGTTATTAATTAAGTTCACTTCAATGTAATGTAGTCTAGTTTTTAAGTGAGTTGATATAAGAAAACATATTGGGGTTTCACGCATGATAAATTGACACGTTAATTAAGGTATTGTACTAAGTTGCTTAAAAAGTATGTGAAACATTTCATTTACCGAATAAACTAGTCACTATTTTAAATTAATTTGAAAGTGTAGTAAAAGACTCGATAAAATTATTTATCATTTCTAAAAAAGGTTCTATTATTATACTCCACAAAATTTATATTGTGTATTGGTTGAAATATTTTTTAGCTAAACATGAATGATTAGAAAAAATGGTTTTGATTTTGCGGGTTTATTTACTCAAATTAGTTTTACATAATTGATTTTTAGGCATTAGACATCTATAATAAATCTTATTAACAAGCGCTCATGCAACACTAGTTACCACCAAAAATGCTATTACGCTTTTACCAAAAAAAATAAATTATATTATCTACATATTTATTAGATTACACATACACCACATCCATGATAATTTATTTCCTCTCTTAATCCCAACCCCACAAGTTTGTATTGTAAATAACTTGGCCTAGATTTTTTTTAAGCATTACTCGATGTGTCTTCATCGAGTGGTATTTGTAAAGTCATATGAAGATGGTAAACATTTATGATGAAGATATATACATTGAAATAGAGCAAGATGGAATGAAAACTTATAGTGGGTTTAATTTGGAAAATACCAAATTTTGTTCAACACTTTCTATAAAAAACCGTCACAATATCATCACCTTTGATAAATTACAACTACCTCAGCTCATACGGTTATTAGCACACATAGAAGCAAATTCTCTCTTTAAGATGCATACCTCTATTTCTTATTATTTGTAACAAAGGGGTAACATTTATAAAATTTTAAAAAATCCTTTGTTGTAGATAATAAGAAACGCTGGTATTAGTTGGAAAATTTGTCTTTAAACACCATAAAAAAAGACCCAATTTCTTATTTAACATATAAAAAAAAATTGTTTTAACACTAAAAAAAATCAAAATTTGAATTTCAGGACCAAAGATTGCATTCGTGAGTTAATCCGCGCAACATTTCACATTTCTCCCATATTTTACATTCATTTTCATAATATTTTATCTTCTTCCACCTTCATTTTAATGATTTCTCTGTTATTTCACTTCGTCCTTGTTCACTTTACCTTATTTTACTGAATTGAAATTATTTTTACTGGACTGAAATTATTTTTGTTGAACTTAAATTATTTTTATTGAACTAAAATTAATTTTACTGAAGTGAAATTATTTTTACTGATATTCTATTATATTTTTTCTTTAGGTATACTTATTTTTACTGAATTGGAATTATTTTTATAAATTGAAAATATTTTTGTTAAACTGAACTTATTTTTACTGAACTGAACTTATTTTTTTCTAAACTAAAATTATTTTTACTAAATATTATTTTTTTAAAGATGAAGTGAAAAAAAAAAAGATGAATATGACCTTCATTACCTAAATTCATATCTCAAATTCAATCTCATTCACCTTCTAATTCCTTTGTTCTTCATAGTTCATATCTCAATTTTCTACCTTCTTCGTTCCACCATCGTTTTCATAATTTATCCATTATATTACTTCTTTTACCTCAATACATAACTCAAATTCAATCTCATCCATCTTCTTCCTTAGTTCTTCATAGTTCATACCCACAAAAATGGAGTTTTTTTTCTTCTCATAAACTCTTTACAGACACAATGAAAAGGAGAAGCCCGCTTGGCGCCACCACGTGCTGGTGATCACCACTAATGGTGGTTGTCAACAAGAGAAAAGATAATGAGAATAGGATTTCTTGAATTTGTTAAAGAAGAAAAGTAATTTAAAGTGAATATTGAATGAATGAAGATGGATAGATAAAGGTTGGGAAGTGAGATAAAGAATCGTGGAAAAGGAAGAGAAAATTGATGAAGATAAGCCCTGACAATGGGTTTTGTCCATGAATCCATTAGTGATGTTGAAACTCAAATTTTAATTTTTTGTGATGTAAAACAAAACTTATTATTATATTGTTAAATAACAAATCGAGTCTATTTTATGGGTGCTAAAAGTTAAAATTTCCTTGTTTTTTTTATAACGATTATATATTTCAATGAATATAAATGTTACTCTTCCTAAAAATGTACTTCATGGATCCAAATCAAAATTTTGATTTGCATTTTCTTTTAAACTTATGGAGAACTAATCCTAAATTACATTTTCTTATGAATTTAACTAAAAATGACCGATCTCAAAATTCTCAAACCATTATA